AAATATCAGGATGTAAAAAATGGAGTTGCAATTCAGTCCCAATAGATATGTAGTCTTTTCCCGTCCTGTCCTATTTTTGGGATGGGATGAGACGGGCATTCGGATCTATGAGACAGAACAAAATGGATCAAGTCAAGAATCAATCGAAATTTTCAGTAGTCTTACTAAATTTTTCATAAAAAAAATAACAAACTACTATATTCATCAATTACAATTAAACAAAATTCATTTATATAAGTTTGACTTAAAGAAAAAAGAATAAATCAAATAATTAATTCAAACATTGATGATCTACTACTAAAGTTATAATAGAAGATTTTTAAGTAGTTATTTTCTAATTAATAAAAGCGTTAAATATAATAAAATAATACAAAAACTATAAACAATTTAACTTTATATGTAGTTTTTGACTTTTAACTTGACATTGTTTTTGTCACCTTTGTTTTTAAGGTGATTTAAATTCGATACTTACCTAATTTAATCTTGAATATCATTTGAAAATTAAATAATGATAATTAAGTATAACCAATAGTCCAGTAATCAAATTAATTGAAATTAATATTTTCTCTTGTATTGATTAATCTTTTCATTTTTTATTTAAAAGAAAAAAATTTATTAAAAAAAGATTGACTTAAGACATACTGTGGAATAACAGAGAAAAAGCCTATGTTGAAAATTATGTTTAATTACTTAATTTATTTTATATTTTAAAAAATACATATTATTTTTTCGTATTATTATTATTATTTTAGTAGTAATTGGTATCATAAAAAATGACTTTTTAATAATTTTCAATAAAGTTGACAAATATGAAATTAAAAATAATTTAGATTACAAATTTTTCTCAACTAAATTATATATTGAAAATATCATCAGACAATTTCTCTAATATTATTGATAAATATATTAACTGTGTATAGCACAAGCATACAACTAGTGACTCTTAAAACCAGGCTAGACACGTATGCTATATAGCATCTAAACTTATAATGGCAATTAGGTTTGATTTAATTAGTTTTCCGTTGTCTTATAAAAGATATAAGGGTAAGGGGTCTCAAGTGTCTCTCTACACCATAAAAATTGTTATCAAATTGGTGAATGTTATTGAAAGGAGAGAGTTGTTTCGTACTGTATAATCCGTATTGTTCTTCCAGCCCACGAACATGACTAAATTTTAGTTACACCAAACAGGAGGAACGTGAAGTATTTTGACTAAAACTTAGAGACTAAATAGTTAATTACCCATCAAATACTAGGATAAGAACTAATTGGTAGAGACTATACTAAATTTTAATTGGGAAGCCTAACCTCTTCCTTGGCTCTTTTAGTTCCAACTAGTTTTTTTTATGACGTGCCTTGCACGTTGACTATGCTTATTGTATACTCATTTTTTGTACCTTTTAATTTTTTTATCTATATAATATTAAAATATAAGTTTTTGTTTACATTAAAATAAATACAAGCTTGTGATTAATTTGTATTACACTTTGTCGTACAAACTACTTGTAATGCTACTTCTTATGTACTTAATTCTATTTTTATATAATGAAGTGGTCTTTGTCGTACAAACTACTTGTAATGCTACTTCTTATGTACTTAATTCTATTTTTATATAATGAAGTGGTCTCAAACTAAATTGATAATGGTAATCACTTTCGCTACAATAGCAATATTATTTACTCAGTGTATTAGAGAAAAAAAAAATATGCACATACACATAAATTCTTGAAACCTCAAAATGTGACTCAAAACATAACACTATTTTCTTTCGAGTCAAATAGATTTAGCATATAAGAAAAAAATATTAAGGAAATTACAAATGCTTAATCATCAAGATGCCATCTATTTATTGCAAGGGAGATATAAATCTTGTACTAAATTAAAATGATAATAGTTACAAATTAATTAGTAACGAAAAAAAATAAAAAAATAAAAAAATATTATTAATAAAAAAATTATTTTAAAATTGTTCATCAATCACACACAAATAAGTTCATTTTATATTAAAATAAATTTTGAAAAGTAAAAATTTAAAAGTTTTGAAAGGTTTAATTATAAGTATTCTATTTGAAAATTTATTTTTTTTAAAAAAATACCCGACCAAATCATACAAACATAAAACATATTAATAAAAATTATATACCTTTTTCTTTTTTTATCTCTTTTCTAAATAAAATACTATGTATATTCTATTTCAAAATTTATTTTTACGAAAAAAAATCCAATCAAAGCATACCAATATAAAGAAAAAAATAATATAAATAAAAGATTATACTTTTTTTTATTTCTTTTCAAATAAAGTACTTTAAATTATAATTAAAATAGAATCAAATATTTAAATAAAATATAAAATTTTTAAATGTCCCCTTAAAGTTCCCCTTATCATAGTGTATTGTATTAAACAGTAAATCTTTAAAAAGATAAACTTAAAATTTTGAAGATGCTCGTAATTGATCGTATAGTCGTTGTATTTAAAAAATAGATATTATAAATATATTGCAAAATAAAATATAAAATTTTTAAATGTCCCCTTATCATATGTATTTATTAAAAATAAATTTTAAAAAGATAAAACTTAAAATTTTGAGATGCTTAATTATCTATATGTATGTATTTAAAAAATAATATTATAAATATATTCAATCAACTAATAAAATATAATTTTCTAATTGGCTATTACTAAAATTATTTTTGTATAATTTAAATTTCATTAAAGTTAATATCGGAAATTTCATTATTTTCTCCCTGATTACGGTAGATATAGTCAACCTCAACTACTACAAGTATCATATGTCTAACTCAGGTATCCAAATTAAGGATTTTGAAGCATCCAATCTTAATGGGATAAATTAAAATAGTTCACAATTTTGGTCCCTACGATGAATGGCTCAAAACAGGCGGGTAAAAGTGAGATTGAGAATTTTAGCACAAATCCTAAGAAAGAGGATTGGATCAAAACTGGGAACAAGGAATAAAAATCTGAATATCACATTTGAAGGTTTACAGAAAATTCAAATGGAATTGGTAGTCAAAGATAAGAACTCGTCAAAAAGGACAAGAAGAATTTGAGAGAGTTTGAAATATGAGAATTTCACTTAATGTCAATCTAACAATAACTTAAAAAAAAAAAAAAAAAGAGAATTATTGTGATTGAATAAAAATTAATGAGTGAAATACAATGATTAAACCCCGCGGAAAATTTTTTTAAGATTTTTGAATAAACGGTTTCATTTGTTTTTATTGAATTGTCATTTCAACTCATTTTGTTTTACGTGATATCACCGTTCCACTATATAATTACACTATGTCTGGAACAAATGAATTATGATTATAGAATTCATTTGTAAATGAATTCTAAGTATAATTCATTTATAAATGAATTTCTCATGTTTGGTATGTGACAAATTAGAATAAAGAATTCAATTGAATTCTACAAAATTATGTTTGGAATAAATTTTTAAATGAAAATTCATTTGTCTTTATTTCTTATAATACCCTTGACAAATTACGAATAAAAGAATTTCAATTGGATTCTGACAAAAATTCATGTTTGGAATAAGATTTTTTTAAATGAAAATTCGATTTGTTCTTTAATTTCTTATAATACCGCCTTGCGAGATGGATAATTAATTAAAAAATAAAATAACAGAACACCTAATTAATATTTATTATATTACAATATAATAACATGTTTATTTTTTAATTAATTGGTAGTACGTTAATTATATAAATATTAACATCTGCATCGATAATAATTATGTTTTAATCGTTAAAAGTCTTAATTAATTTAAGTAATTCAATTTGAAAACCTATAAAAATATTTGAAAAAGTTTATTACTGTGTTTTTCAATTGACGTTTTGGGAAACAATTGTTGAATAGTCAATTGTTTATTAGCTTTGCACCTCCCATAACTAATGTTTTTTACTAGATTTGAAAAAAAATTAACGTTATTGACTGAGTTTACAATGGAAGTACAAAATAAAGTTAGTCTATTATCAGATTTTCAGGAAAAAAATAATTAGTAGAAATTTTTCTTGAAAAAAAAAGGTCAAAAAACAGGGGAAAAAAACAGAATTAAAAAAAAAGCGTTAGTAGGAACTTTTTCCCAAAAGAAAAAAAAGGTAAACAAAACAGGAAAAAAAAAAAGAGTAACGAAGAAAAAAAAAAACTTTCAGTAGGCAATTGTTCAAAAAAAAAAAAGGTTTAAACCCAAAAGTAAAGACAACAGAGTAAAAGAAAAAAAAAAATCGGGGTTTTGGTAGGAATTTTCCCAAAAAAAAAAAAAAGAAAAGGAAAAAAAAAAAAGAGTAAAAAACAGCTGAGTTTATAATTAAATTTTCCAAAAAAAAAAAAAAAAGAAAAAGGAAAAAAAAAAAAGAGTAAAAACAGCTGAGTTTATAATAGAGTATAATTTCGTCAATGAAAATTTAATGGTTTAATTTTATAGAATTCATTTAGAAATTTCATCAATTTTAATAGTATCTGAGTTAAACATATCCAATTCTATAGAATTCAATTCTTAGAATTTAAATCTGTATTTTTTTTTCTTCCAAGCACAAAACATTGGATTTCCAAACCAAGTATTATAGTAGAATGATTTTTTATCTTTCAAGCAGTTAAAGGATGCAACATGATTCCTTGATGCATGCTTTCTCCTGGCCATTTTAATTGTTTATTTATAATTAAAAAAAAAAAAAGATAAATGTGGAGTATAAGCAATCTCTCACTAAAAAAACTCCAGTAGTTGTGTATGTACAATCTAATGCTATGTGAGAGGAAACATCAAAGAAGCTTCTAAAATTTTGGACCATGTGTGAAGTTTCAGCCTAAACATACTTACAAGGGCTAAACGGGCTTCTTCCCTTCCAAATTGTCTCCTCTATTGTAGAAGTTGGAGAGAATCTGCTTGGAAAGTTCCTCGTCATCCAAAACGACAAGAGAATGCATGTTTTATAAAAATGAAAGTTTGCTAGTTAGGCAGTTCATACATAGGAGCACCTTGGCTCAAGCCTGACAAAGGGAAAGACAGAAAAAGGAAAGTCCATTAGCTAGTCTTAAAAAAAAAAAAAAAAAAAAAAAAAAAAAAAAAAAAAAAAAAAAAAAAAAAAAAAAAAAAAAAAAAACAAAAAAAAAAAAAAAAAAAAAAAAAAAAAAAAAAAAAAAAAAAAAAAAAAAAAAAAAAAAAAAAAAAAAAAAGAAAGAAGAAAAAGCACATAAACAAGGAAATGGAGATTGAGGAAATGAGCAGCTATGAAGCACTGCCCCTTCTGTCGTTGAATCATGTGTCGTTGTCGTGTAGATCTGTTTGGGCTTCTACCTATTTCTATGAGGAAGTTTTGGGCTTTGTTCAAATCAAACGACCTTCTTCTTTGAAGTTCAATGGAGCTTGGTTAGTTTTTAATTTCATTTTCTCCTTTTTTTTTTATAACATAAATTGAATGGTGATTGTTATTGTTAAATATGAGATTTTCAATTATTCGAGTTGAATTTGTGTAGGTTATATAGTTATGGCATTGGAATACATTTGATTGAGAACTTAGCTCTAGAAGAATTTGACCCGATTATCGAACCACGTCCAATTAATCCCAGAGACAATCACATATCCTTTCAGGTAAGATTAATTAATTAATTATATTAAATTTAATATATAATTATAAATCTATACTTGACATTTTTAGTATAATTAAAATTTTATTTAGAACTTATATGTTTTTAATTTAATAAATTGATTATACTTGAGCTAATTGGTTATTATAAATCTATATTTTTCACAAAGATTATTTTTCTAAAATGTAAATATTCCATAGTGCACAGATATAGGCCTTGTGAAGAGGAAGTTGCAAGGATTGGGAATAAGGTATGTGACAGCAACTATTGATGATGATGATGGGAATCGAGCGGATCAAATTTTCTTCCATGACCCAGATGGGTATATGATTGAAATATGCAATTGTGAAAACATCCCAATTACTCCAATTTCTTCTTGCTCTTTCAATTTCATCCCTAGAAATGTGAGAAGCTGCAAAGGGACAATATCCAACAAATGTGGCTTCATGGAGAATGTCATGATGGAAAGCTTAAGCAGGGACATGATGGATATTTCATTCTAATATGCTAAAATTTCTTCTCTCTTCCTTCTTTTTTTTTTTTTTTTTTTTTTTTTTTTTTTTTTTTTTTTTTTTTTTTTTTTTTTGGCGCGCTTCCACAAATACTGTCGAATTTCCCTTTTTAGATGGTCATATTTCATGCTCCTACAAAAGCATCTCACATTTTGGTTTCTTTTTTTTTTTTTTTTTTTTTTTTTTTTTTTTTTTTTTGCGCTTCCACAAATATGTCGATTTCCCTTTTAGATGGTCATATTTCATGCCTCCTACAAAAGCATACTCACATTTTGGTTTCCTCCCTATGATTTGGAGAGGGAACTGAAATTTTGAACTTTGATATATATTTTTTAAGGATAAGATACTACAATAGATTATTGGTTTTAATGGTTTTTTCATTATAAATTGATTCCATAAAATTTTTTAAATTAATTTACAAATTCAGATATTCATATTTGAATTAAATGAAATTTAATTAGAAATTTTACATTTTTAATTTTGTAGAATTAATTATATCTGAATCAAATTCTACTAAAATCGATAGAACTTATAAATGAATTATAAAATTTAAAACAACACAAGGTGGTAAAGCTAACAAATTTTTTATTCACTGAGGGGCTCAATGCACTAAAAAATGATTCAAAAAAAAAAAAAAATATTATGAATTACATATAAGGGGCAACCTTTCATATCTGAGGGAATTAATTTGATTAACTGTATTTTCTCTTGAAATATCATTACTTTCATATATTTAAAATAAATTTTGATTCAAATATAAAAATTCATTAAAAATAAATATCTCTTTTACTTATAAATGAAATAGTTTAGAGGGAAGTGGAAGTGGAAGTGGATGAGTGGCATAGAGAATATTACTACTAAACTAAAATCTAGGGGTGAACATTCTGTCAATTTGTTCGATTTAAGTAAAATTTTTAACTAAAATAAATTAATTGAAATTCTTTTTGACTTAACAAATTAATCGAATTAATTTTTTAACTGAACTTAACCGAACCATTTTGACCGAATTAATTTTGATCATTAACCAAACCGAAGTTAAATAAAATGAAAACTTAATTAACCGATCAATTTAATTGAAATTTATGATTAACCAACTTTGACCGAAATAAAAATTAACCAAATTTATTAATCACTATTTAATCAAAATAAAAACTGAAATATTTTTAATTTTATTATCTATTTAACCAAAATGACATAGTTTTGAGAGTCGGTTAATTTGATTAATTTGATTAAATTAAGTTTTAATCGAATTTTTAACCGATCGCTGAAGTTTTAATTTTCTTTGACCTAACTTTTAACCGAATATTTATTCATCAAACGAAATTAACCGAATTAATCGATTTAACTGAATTGACTGAACCGAATGTTGCTCCTTACTAAAATCTATACGGGTTTGTTGGTGCATTGTGTAATGCAATGATAAATTCTTGAGGAAAATTCAATTACCATATTGACAACTCTTCCTGTTTAAATTATTAAATGGTTATTTTACTATATATTTGGACTTTGCAATTTATTGTAGGTTTTTCTCTTTTTTAAAGGTATTTCTTTGTTTGTAACAATTAAAATTTCAAATTTTAAATTTGAGAATAAATTTATAATGCTTAGACAACCTTTGTTTTAACACAGCCATAGCTATCCTCTGCATCCAATAGTTTGTAGGTATTTTTTAGCTTTTTTTTATTGATATTCTATTTAAACTTTATTGATCTTATAAATATAATAATTACTAATAAAATATTTTTTTAAATTAACTTTTTGTGATCATTTTATATATATATTTTAAGAATAATAAATTTCTATTCAATATTTTTTAAAAAAACTTTAATTAGTATTCTTATTTATATATTACGATAAAATATAATTTATACGCATTAGTTGGATTTGAAATTATTCATGACATATTGGCAAAATTTAATAAAAATGAATCCAGTATTGATAACTTGGACACCATATCATATGATATTTTTTGAGTACTGGAGGAAGAGATTCGAACCGGAATATATATTCGGATCATAAATGCATTTACCACTAGACTATGCCTTGGTATACCATATCATATGATATTTTAATTGCCAATCATTCCATGCAAACGAGCGTAACACGAGGAAAATATCATATTAGTTATTTCGAGTTAAAATCTTAATAACAAGAACACGGGGAAAATCAAAGAGTACCCTTTTAAATATATTTTTTCAATATATAGTTTATAATAAATATTTTAATTATACATTCCATGGTCATGACTTAGTTATATGTTTTAACGTTACGACATGGCTTGCATTATCCATTAGGAATTTTCCTGTATCAATGTTTGCATGACATTTTTCATGAAAAAAAATTCAGAAATTGTGAATGATCAAAGGTTACTATATATACATGCTACATACGCTTTATTGATATATATGAAAAATTTTTGAGATATTGGGGTAAATTTAATTGTCATAGTTATGAAAATTGATTAGATATAACAATTGCACAATTAATAAAAAAATATTTTATAAATTTTATTTATTTTTATAACTTTATAATAAGGTCATTCACCAGGTTACAACATTGATTCTTTTTATTCATCGAAGAGGAGTTTCTTTAAATAATTAAAATTCTATAATTTTATAAGAAGCAATGAATAATAAGGAGTGATTTAATAGAGCATTTCTTCTTTCTTTTTTCCGTCTCTATCTCTGCTATCTTTTTCTCTTCAAAACACAATTATAATATTATATAATATTTTGAATATGTTTTCTTAAAAATTACTCTTTCTTGTTTCTTGAGATTTGTATTTGTTCTTGATTTTTAATATTTTAGTTTGTTTTATTGATAGATGATAAATTCATATGTGTTGCTTGCAATGTGTGCAGCTGCAAGAACTGTATAAAATACTATGAGTAAATTATAAATATTATATAGATTTTTTTATTGGGCTAATGTTTCTTTGATTATTATTATTATTGTTTTATAGACATATGTGTTTAAATACATCTAGCAAAGCGCTAACATGTGAATTTTGATTGTGAATTTTATGAAATTATAATAATGTATTATAAATGTATTTTGTTATGATGGTCAGCATTTTAATTGATTTTTCTTATAAATTTTATATTCTTTTAGGTCTATGAGAAATATAAATGTACCAACTCTTGCAATCTAGATTAGTAAACGGTTATTTTACTATATTTTGGATCTGCAATTTATTTAAAGTTTTTTTTTTCTTCTTTAAAGGTATTTATTTATTTGTAGCAATTAAAACTTCAAATTTTATCTGAGAATGGGCTTGGATAGCCTTTGTTTTAATTATTTTGTGTTTTAGAGCTTTTTCGTATTTATATTCTATTACCTTATATATTTTGTAGGCAATTAAAACTTCAAATTTTTCTGAGAATGGGCTTGGATAGCCCTTCTGTTTTAATTATTTTGTGTTTTAGAAGCTTTTTCGTAAATTTATATTCTCATTACCTTATATATATATATTATATTATATATATATATATATTATAGTATATATATATTATATATATATATATATATATTATATTATATCAGAATTTGATGATTTGAGAGTTATAGAATTTGTGATATATATTAACTATCAGAATTGAGATTTGAGAGTATTTAAGAATTGGTCCTCGCTTGAAGTAAATTTGAGGTATATATATTGAAGCAAAGGTAAATTTTACAAGGATAAAAATTGTGAGAATCCTGCATTATCTGTTAGTTAGAGTTTACTTAAGAATGTAATATCCTTTTAATATTTTTATATACTGTTTAAATATGAGCTGTTTAAGCTTGAATGGCTAGACTGCTTAAGTCCGAAGATGGACAATTTATGTCTTGAAGGACTGTTTAAGTCTGAAATGATAGACAGTTTATGTTCGACGTGGCGGACGATTTATGTCCGAACTGATAGACGATTTATATCTGAATTGGAGGACTACTTAAGTCCGAATTTGTTGAGGACTGCTTAAGTCCGAAATGATAGACGATTTGTGTTCGACTTGGTGGACGATTTATGTCCGAACTGGTGGACGATTTATGTTCGAACTGATAGACGATTTATGTCCAAATTGGAGGACTACTTAAATCTGAATTTGTTGAGGACTGCTTAAGTCTGAAATAATGTGCGATTTGCGTCCAAACTAATGGACGATTTATGTCCAAATTGGAGGACCTCTTAAGTCCTAACTGATGGACGATTTATGTCCAAATTGGAGGACTGCTTAAGTCCGAATTTATTAAGGACTGCTTAACTCCGAAATGATGGATAATTTATGTTCGAATTGGAGGACTACTTAAGTCCGAATTGATGGACGATCTATGTCCGAACTGATGGATGATTTACGTCTGAATTGGAGGACAGCTTAAGTCCTAACTGATGGACAATTTATGTCTGAATTGGAGAATTGCTTAAGTCCGAATTTGCTGAGGACTGCTTAGTCCGAATTTATTAACCTCCATTTGGTTGTGCTACCTATGCTTTTATCATGATATAGAGGATAAATGTTCAAGGTAATAAACTAATAATAAAATTGCTTTATTTTATCAAATGTGGAGAAAATAAATAAATATAATCATTACCCATTGATCAGCAATAAAAGGTGCTTACAAGTTAGGAAAGGAGAAACTTAAAAGGGTCTAATAGGTCAAAAATAAGAATTTAAGAGTGCAACAACACAACAAGTGCAAATAAAAAGGTTAAGGGTGAAGTAGACTTTCTCCAAATAGTTTACGGGTGAATGAATCTATTCGGCCCTCATACTTGTGTATGTGTATACTTACATAATTATGTGTGAAGCTATACCTATTTTGCACCTAATTTATGTTTGTTTCGCTTCATCCATTAATGTTCCTTCATTAAACACTAAAAAAAAAAAAGTAATAATGATTCTTTTTGACACGGAACCCTATGAAAATTAATTCCAAGAACTCTATGACAAGATTGAAATAGCTTCAATGATTAAACTAAACTCCCCTTCTATGGCACCCAAAGCTTAAGGAAGCAAGAACACCAATAATAGAGTAAAGAAGAACAAGATAAACGCCATAAGTAAATTGATAAGTTTATCTTGATTCTTGATGCTATTAGAGGAAAGCAATCTCACAATCACTCTAATCAAAGAACACGCCAAAAGCATGAACAAATCTGAAGGTTTATTAATTCATTGAATGATTTGTTTAACAACATAACAAAGCTATTTATACTAGACTAAGAGGTCCTGATCCTTAAAGGATTTTAGAATAATTAATCTAAATCAGCTAAGGATAAGGATTTAGCTAATCTAAACCAACTAAGGATAAGACTGACGCGGAACCTTATGGAAATAAATTCCATGAACTCTATAACAAGTTTTGGAAGAGATCAAAGATCTAGAATAAGCTCCCCTCTATGGCACCCAAAGCTTAAAGAAGTAAGAACACCAATAATAGAGTAAAAGAATAAGATAAACGCCACAAAGAATTGATAAGTTTTTTCCCTTCTTAAGTCAGACTTTGGCACGGTCGGGACGTGTTACCCAGCACGGGCGTGCTTCATGTTGTTGTTTTTCCTCCTCAAGTCAGGCTCTAGCACGGCCTGGGTGTGCTTCCTAGCACGGGCGTGCTATATGCTGCAGATCCAGGCAACTTGTCTTTAGGTAGTTCCACCTCAACATATGCTTCAATCAATGTAAGAAGCTTAGGTGTGCCTTCAAGCAACATATGCTTCAATCAATGTAAGAAGCTTAGGTGTGCCTTCAAGTTCTACACAACATTTATTGAAAGCAAGGTCATGGAGCTCCTGTGTAACTTGTTCTTCAATGTATAAAGACATGGTTGCTCCATATTTCTTTGCACAGCTTCTTGTAATTGGTCCATTAGGAAATACTAAGGGATTTTGCATGTTGTTGTCCTTGTTCCTTTGAACTCTATGGATGAGTAATGGCGGATCCGTATCACTTTTTATGACAACGGTTAGCTTGGGATGCTTAGACCAGTATGTAGACAATAAAAGAATTGGGATTAAGCTTCTAAATCACCTTTCTTTCTTTGCTATAATCATGAGAACTGTCAGATTAACTTTTTTTTTTTTTCATTACTTGTGCTTCTTCCATCCTCGAAAAGACAATTAAGATTTGACAATAGCGCATTAGAAAAAGAATAAGAAGCAAAAGTTACCTTTAAAAATCAACAATACTAGAAGCTGTAAATATCATTCAAATATATTCTTTATGAACTTTCCATTCAATTTCTATTTATGAATTCTAAACTAACTCCTATATCAACCATCTGACATTTGCATTTATTAAAAGTTAAAATAAATAGGAGTCTTTGATCCATAAATAGTATAAAAAGGGGCAAAAACGATCAGCCATCAAACTTACAGGTTTTGAGTTTTGAGCGGGGGTTTTTTTTATTGATTTTTACTTTATCACATTAATGTCAATAATGAGAATCTTTGTTTCCATTTATTATTTGATAATTATGTTAATCTCATTTGACTGCCTCTAGAAACAGGGCCTCAAACATCAAATAATTATAATGATATGTAAAAAATACCAACAAAGACAAACTTGCCAGCTCTGTTATTCTATCCCAATAAGAAAATTCTCATTCAAAACTAAGAGAACTGTAAATATCATTCAAAAACATTTTCTTTTTAAACTTTCTGTAAAACAAAGAGAAGAATTTGAGAATTTGCATTCACAATTTGATATCTACAAACATTAGCAGAAAACTATATATATAGCATGTACAGGAAGCTAATATAGAAAGAAAACAAATTACATTAATTTAGGTTATAATTTACAATTAGATTAGGTAACTAGAATATTTCTATCCTACAATTGCTCCTTGACAGGTCACATTGATACAGATTTGTTGAGGTAAGGAATATAATAGAATTTGGAGCTGAAGATAATCATTAACAGCCCCCCTCAAGCTGTGTCGTAGGAGACCAAAGACGCAGCTGGTTGCAATGAGCTTAAAATAATGGATAACCAAAGGTTTTGTCATCACATCAGCAACTTGATCAGTGCTTTTTAGAAAACAAATTTGAATTAAACCACATTTCACTTGATCTCTGATAAAGTGGTAATCGATTTCAACATGTTTTGTGCGAGCATGGAACACCGGATTAGAGTTGAGATAAATAGCACTTATATTGTCACACCAAAGTTATGCTAGTGGTTTTAAGGGAAGCCCAAGTTCTCGTAGCAGTGTCATTAGCCACATGACTTCAGCCGTTGTGTTTGCTAGAGCTTTGTACTCACTTTCAGTACTTGATCTTGCTACAGTAGGTTGTTTTTTTGAGGACCAAGATACTAAGTTTGTTCCCAAATAAATGAGAGGTAATCGATTTCTAACATGTTTGTGCGAGCATGGAACACCGGATTAAGGAGTTGAGATATATAGCAACTTTTATATTGTCCGCACCAAAGTTATGCTAGTGGTTTTAAAGGGAGCCCAAGTTTCTCGTAGCAGTGTCATTAGCCACATGACTTCAGCCGTTGTGTTGCCTAGTTGCTAGAGCTTTGTACTCACTTTCAGTACTTGATCTTGCTACAGTAGGTTGTTTTTTTGAGGACCAAGATACTAAGTTTGTTCCCAAATAAATGAGATAACCACCTGTAGAACGACGATCATTTGGGCACCCTGCCCAATCACTATCAGAGTAGCAATGTAAAACAAAGGAAGAGTCACGTTGGAGTAACAAACCATGACTAGATGTCTGCCGTAAATAACGTAAAAGACATTTACAAGCGTGCCAATGCTCTGTTGTTGCACAATGCATGAATTGAGCAAGTTTGTTAAAACTGAAAGTGATGTCCGGACGAGTTAAGGTAATATATTGCAATGCTCCAACAATTTGTCTATACTCATTAACCGAAGAGAGAAGTGTGCCCATGGTTTTACTCAAACTTGGAGTTGAGCCATTGGTGTACGACACCCTTGCATGCTTGCATATTTGTAGCTTGTAAAATGTCCTCAATATATTGTCCTCAATATATTTAATGTTTGAGATAAAGCAGTAATCCTTTGGCATGGCGTTGGATTTCAATCCCCAAAAATCTGTATATTGCGCCAAGATCACCGAACAGGTTTTTGGCAATTTATCCATCAATCCCATTTGAATTAGTTGTGATCTGATTTCCTTGTAACAAGTATGATCATCGATTATGAACAGAACAAATAATTTCTTAGTAAGAATAAATAAAGAGGGAATGATCTGAATGAGAACGCTGAAATTTAAGAGTCTCAAGAAATGCTGTGAGCCGTTCAAACCAAGCTCGAGGAGCTTGTTTGAGACCATGTAATGACTTTTGAAGCTTGCAAACATAATATGGATTTTGCTTGTCAATAAATCCAATTGGTTGTTCCATAAATAGCTCCTTATCCAAAAATCCATGAAGAAAAGCATTAGATATATCAAGTTGACGTGTTTCCCAATTTTGTGATGCTGCAATAGATAATACAGTTCGCACAATTATAAATTTAACCACTGGTGAGAAGGTTTCTGAATAATCGATACCGAACTGTTGAATAAATCCCTTGGCCACTAATCGTGCTTTGAAACGCTCAACTGAACCATCAGACTTACGCTTGATGCGATAAATCCATTTATTTTCGCTCAACTGAACCATCAAACTTATGCTTGATGCGATAAATCCATTTATTTTTAATGATGTTGGCATTAGAAGTCCGTGGCACTAATACCCATGTCTGATTTTTTTGTAAGGCAGTGACTTCTTCCAGCATAGCATCTTTCCAAACCTGATATTTATTAGCATGAGTAAAACAAGTGGGTTAGTAAAACAAGTGGGTTCCTGATTGGGCATGGAAGTGGCTATGTAGGAAAAATTTTTTGGTTTAGGATTGGGCCGAAGGACCATATGATGGGTGCAGATGAGTTTGGATTGATCTATGGATTCTAGTGTAGATACAAGAAGTTGTAAACCAGGAGAATTAGATTTTGGAGATTCAGTGAGAGAAGATAAAGACGACATAGAAATAGGTGTAAGAGATTTCAGTGAGGTAGAAGTATTTAAATTAAGCGGAGAAGATAAAGAAACAGAGTTTGAGTTTTGAAGGTTATCTAATTCTGATGAAAGAGCCAAGTCTGGAGAAGTTTGACATGTTACAGTTAACCAATTTTGTTCAGCCTTGTTTGTTTCAGCCTCTGTTTTCATTAGAATGAGTGCAAGACTAGCATTAGGGAAAAACATTAGAGTTGAACATCGGACATGCTTTGGCTAAATAAATCCGACTGTTGCTAGCATCTAAACATCTTAATATCAAGAATGTAAGGACTTTGACCCAAATATATGCATTCATCGAGTGCGATAAGAGAGTGCGATAAGAAAATTTGTGAGAATTATATGGTCTTAACAGTGGAAAAACGGAGCAGCCAAATGTTTGGAAGGCCAAATAGTTTGGATCTTTTGCATATAATAAAGAATATGGAGAATTTTTGTTAAGAACATCAGAGGATAAAACGTTGATTAACATTGATTAACATTGCACTTTATTCTAAAGCATAATTCCAATATTTTAAAGGTAGACTGGCATGAGCAAGCAATGTTAAACTCGTATCAACAAGATGTCGAATTTTTCGTTCTGCCGTACCATTTTGTTCATGAGTGTACGGGCATGCAATTTGATGTTGAATACCATGATTTTTAAAATCTTGATGAAGACGTTGATACTCTCCACCCCAATCTGAATGAAAAGCAAGAATTTTATTTTTAAATTGTCGAAAAATTAACTGTTCAAACTGCTTAAAAATATCAAACACTTCACTTTTTGCTTTCATAAAATAAATCCATGTAAATCTAGTGAAATCATCAACAAAAGTAACAAAATAACGATGACCTAAGCTAGACTGAATAGGGGCAGGACCCCAAACATCTGAAAAAACAATTTCAAAAGGATAGACACTTTTGTGTTCCTTGGAAGCTAGAGGAACACGACCCAATTTTCCGAGATGCAGCTAGCACATGGACTAAGAACAGAACTAGAGCTTGAAATTTTATTTTGCTTTGCTAAATAAAAATTTTCTGCACGTTTGGGTGTCCCAACCAACTATGCCACTCATCCAGAGAAGATGCAACATTTGCAAGATACACAAAAGGCTTAGAGAACTGAGGTTGACGAAACTTGTAGACTCCATTTTGTCTTGGACCTTTCATCAGAATTTTCTTGCTGGTTTGGCCCTTTATAAGAAAATAATGTGGCCAAAATCCAAAAAACACAGAATTGTCAGTTGCAAATTTTTGAACAGAAAGGAGGTTTTTCTTAATCTCAGGAACACATAAAATTTTATTCATGCTAAATCGAATATCAGGAAAAGAAAGAACATTATTACCAGTATGGGAAATTGATAAATCTTGTCCATTACCAACAAAGAGCTGATCCCGGCCTGTGTATTCATTGATTTGAGTCAAATGATTTGGATCAGGAACAATATGATAATTGGCTGCTGTGTCAGGGAACCATGTCACTTGTGCAGGAGATGCAGAAGATTGAACAGCTGCAACATTAGCTGTTGGAGTGGTATTGCTGGCATTAACCTTTCTAGAATTATAATTTCCAGTATTTTGGTTCCGCTGGTATCGTCGACGATAAGTAAGAGCTGTGTGATTACGATGACCACAATTTGACAAGCAAAAGGATTTTGTTGATTTCGATTTATGTTATTGCCTTGATTATAATTAGCTCGATAAGCTGAACGAGATTGATGTTGAGAATGAGGAGTTGGGAGAAGAGGTGTTTGGGTTCTGAGAGTAAGATTGACAACAGGCTCATGAGAATTATTTAAAAGAAGTTCATGGGCAACAAGGTGACCATGAAGTTCATAGAATGACATCATGGGCAACAAGGTGACCATGAAGTTCATAGAATGACACAGGTTCAGGTCTCTAATTAAGAGAAGTAATTATAGAGTGAAATTCATACCCAATATTTCTATATATTATTGCATTAAATTCAGCAGTGGATATTGGACGTCCTGCTGCCTGAAGTTCATCAGCAAGGGACTTCGCCTTTTGAAGATAAGCAGAGACAGAAAGATCAGCTTTTTTAAGCTGTTGAAGAGAAATATGGAGCTGAAGTTGACGATTTTGCGAAACCGATCCAAAGGCATTAGCTAGGGCCTGCCATACAAAATAAGAAGATTTAAGTCCAATAACTAATGTATAAACTTCTTCGGAAAGAGAGGCAAGAAGCCATGAGAGAAGAAGTTGATCTTTGTCAAACCATTTTTCATATGCAGGATTGGGTATAGGAGTGGCATTTGTAGAAGAAGTAGGTATAGTTTGAGAAGGAGGTGGAATAGATCCAGGTGGAATAGATCCATCAATGAAACCATTAAGCTTTTGAAAATTAAGGATGGGTGTAAACTGTGTTTTCCATGAGAGGTAATTCTTTTGAGTAAGCTTAATGGAAAAAGAAGAAGAAGAGGTGATAGAGGGCATGGAGGAGGATGATATTGGAACAAGGGCCATTGGCTCTGATACCATGTGAAATAAAGAGAAGAATTTGAGAATTTGTATTCACTATATGATGTTTACAACCATTAGCAGAAAGCTATATATATAGCCTGTACAGTAAGCTAACATAGAAAGAAAACAAATTACATTAATTTAGGCTATAATTCTATCCTACAATTGCTCCTTGACAAATTACATTAATTTAGGCTATATCCTACAATTGCTCCTTGACAGCTCACGTTGATACATATTTGTTGAGGTAAGGAATAGAATAGAATTTGGAGCTGAAGATAATCATTAACACTTTCGACTCATAAAACCTATTTTAAATTAAAGGAGTATAATGAAACAATATTGATCAAGTCCAACAAAAGCTCACTTACCTAATATCCACATCACAGCGACTCAACATACTTCTTTATTTCTTGACTGCTCCTCCGTTATTCTCCTAGCTAACAACTCTAACTGAGCCTTTTAAAAATCAGTGACTATAACGGAAGGTAAAAAGAATGGAAGGTGTATTTCACGCTCACCGCACCATTTGTTAACTATTAGAATTGAGATTTGAGAGTATTTGAGAATTAGTCCTCGCTTGGAGTAAATTTGGGGTATATATATGATGGGTGTCAAGACCAGCAAAAATAATTCCTACTCTCCTTAACCTATGTAATTTATAGATATGGTGAGAAGGGTCGAACCCTAGAGACTAATTCAAACTGATTCTTAATCGAAGGCCAGTAGATCAATAATGAAAGTAAAAGGGGGGTGTTGTTTGTCAAGTATAGTATCACTAAGCAATTAAAGTAACTAAACAGTATAGTGATCACTAAGCAATTTAAAGTAACTAGAGTGCAATAAAAAATTAACATATTAAAATCATGGAAAGATTCAGTCAAATGTGATTTATAGCATGAACTCCTCTCGATTGATCATTTGATACTGAAGCCTCGTCCAATAATTCGGAAGGTTTGACAGTTATAATCCTTGAACAAGGGGTCTCCAAAAATCTTTTTTAAAATTATTAGTTAAACAAGAGCAAAGCGCTAAGAATCCCTACACTAGCAAACAATCCTAAACAATGGATAAGAATTTTTATTTATGAATTTAATTTATTAGCAATAATAAAAACTAGAAAGACCCTGTCCTAACAAACTTATAAGCAAAGTTCATTTAAAATATATTATGAGTTTTCATAATATAATCCAAAAGCCTGATTACAATCAAATTATATTATTTATTACTTGAGTCAATTCAACTAAACAATACGAATTTAGTTTTATTGATACTTATATGCATTCCTATCAAATTGAACAATGGGCCATGTTGAACAAATAATAAGAAAACAAAAGAGATGGAGTTTCTCATCAGATTCGGAAAACACAGAAAGACGAAGCGAAATTAAAAAAGATAAAATATTACATTAAGATCTCACAATCGTTAAGGAATTTCTACTTGAAATCAACCTTACATCCCAGAGAAGTTATAATTGGAGATACCATTATTTTTGGTACAAAAGTTCCTAACTGAAACAAAATATTTAGCCACGCATAGGCATGGAGAAAACACAAAGAAGAATACCTACTATTTCTAAAGTTGAGAAGAGGTTATCCCTGCTCAATAGACTTCAAGTTTTATTTATAGC